ATGGCTCTCCGAATGTATATATTAATGGCACTGTTGATGTCTTTGACAAATCCCTGGTCTACAAGTCATTTGAAATCAGTCATAGAACTGAAGAGTCCTCTAGATGTTTGGGGTGGGGTGAGAAGCTGGAATGAGAAGGAGGAGATACAGAAGGAAGGAGAGAAGCAGAGAGCCTATGGATTTAGATGGGCAAAAAGAAAAAAAATCCCTTGCCTTCTTTGCCTGCTTTCTCCATGGGGATTTCCTTAGAGGTTCAGACTTGTAAAGAAATAAAACTGGCATGGTTCTCAAATACCACATCAACTCAATCAGCTAGCAGCTTTGGCAGCAGTCAACTGGTCTTGTGGAACACATCACTGTACTGTGGTTTCATAATTAGTGTTTTGGTTTTAGCAATAATCCCTGATTAACCTCACTGACTTCTATGGAAAGAAAATTCATCCACAGGATGCTGCAAACTCATGCCTCTTGGTGAGTTACCCTGGGAACTTTCTTGCATGTCTTGTGGATTATCCAGCTACTTTACATCCTGATTCTCAGTAATCACACCAAGAATCACATGGCTTTCAAAACATGGTCTGATTCGGCAAATCCAAGCTTCTAGATTTGCATAGGAAAATGCTTTAGATCACCTCAGACAAATTGTCCTATTAAGCCACAACTGCCTCTCTGCGGCCTGAAATAAAAGACATCTAATATAAGATTTGAACCTAGGATGCTCTGAATACAAATCTGAGGGTCCTTCAATGACACAAGTTCTTCCACACTATACAGCTTCTTGCAGAGTTCACCAACAGGTCCAGCGTCTTCTTCTTTTAGCTATTTCCTTACTTATTGCTTCTGGGAATTTCCAAGAGAAAGCCTGCCAAAAGAGAAGTATTTTCATGGTTGTCTTTGTCTCCACCCTGAATGACTCCTTCAGTATGAATAATGTTCAGACTTGCATCACAAGCCAGGTGCAGACAATTTGATCTGTTTTCACAAAGTGCTGGACCTATACCATCTCAGACAGGTGATTGTCTAGCCTCTTCTTAAAAATCTCCACTGACGGAGCGCCCACAATTTCTGGTGGCAAGCTGTTCCACTGGTTAATTGTCCTCACTGTCAGGAAGTTTCTCCTTAATTCCGAGTTGCTTCTCTCTTTGATCAGTTTCCAACCATTGTTTCTCGTCCTTCTCTCTGGTGCTTTGGTGAATAACATGAGCCCCTCTTCCTTGTGGCAGCCCCTCATATACTGGAAGATTGCTATCATGTCTCCCCTATTTCTTCTTTTCTTTAGACTAGCCAAACCCAAGTCCCGCAGCTGTTCTTCATACGTTTTAGCCTTTGAGTGATTTGTAGTCAAAAGAAGGACTGGGGTGACATGAGAGCAGTCTTCCAATATCTGCCACAAACAAAAGGGGGTGCCAACCTCTTCTCCAAAGCACCTGAAGGCAGGACAAGAAGCAACAGAGGGAAACTAATCAAGGAGACAAACAACCTAGAACAGTGATGGCAAACCTTTTAGAGACCGAGTGCCCAAACTGCAACCCAAAACCCACTGATGCATCATCGGGTGCTGGGTGGGTGTGGCCCATTGGCTGGGTGTGACCCATTGGCTGGGTGTGGCCTATTGGGTGGGCATGGCTGCGGTGGTAACGGCAGACTGGGTGGGACTATAAAGTTCAATCAATCAATTCCAGCTTTGCAAGATCTTTTTTTTCCCACGAGAAGTTGAAATTGACTGATTGATTGAACCTTTTTTTTTTTTTGCACACGGCGGCGGAGACCTAAAGCGAAAAGGTTTTATAAAATCCAGCTGAAGGCCTAGGACTGGGGCGACGGCACGCATGCCCACAGAGAGGGCTCTGAGTGCCGCCTCTGGCACCCATGCCATAGGTTCGCCACCATGGACCTAGACCATTGCTCCTACCAACTGCAATCATCAAATACTTGATCATATAGCAAACAATAATCTACTGATATAAGCAACTATAAGTGAGTGGGGAGAAAGCAAGTCAGATCAACCCTACAAAGGATATGTTCATATTGGTACACAGATAGCCTGGACACCATAGTAATTGGGGCATATAGCATTATGAGTGGAATTTAGCAAAGGAACAACAATCGTATCATTGATGTTCTCTGAGCTTAGCTGGTTCAACCATGAGCTACAATATTCTCCTTTATCAGAATCATATAACCATAACCATAATAGTAAAGTTGGAAGGGACCTTGGAGGTCATCTAGTCCAACCCCCTTCTCAGGCAGGAAACCCTATACCATTTCGGACAAATGGCTGTCCAGTCTCTTCTTAAAAACTTCCAGTGTTGGGGTATTTACTGCTTCTGGAGGCAGGTTCTTCCACTGATTGTTCTCATGGGAAGTTTCTCCTTAGTTCTAGGTTGCTTCTCTCCTTGATTAGTTTCCACCCGTTGCTTCTTGTCCTGCCTTCAGGCACTTTGGAAAATAGCTTGATTCCCTCTTCTTTGTGGCAGCCCCTTAGATATTGGAACACTGCTATCATGTCCCCCCTCGTCCTTCTCTTTGTTAAACTAGACATACCCAATTCCAACAACCGTTCCTTATATGTTTTGGCTTCCAGTCCCCTAATCATCTTTGTTGCTCTTCTCTGTACTCTTTCTAGAGTCTCAACATCTTTTTTATATCGTGGTGACCAAAACTGGATGCAGTATTGCAAGTGTGGCCTTACCAAGGCATTGTAAAGTAGTATTAATACTTCACATGATCTTGATTCTATCCCTCTGTTAATGCAGCCTAGCATTGTGTTGGCTTTTATGGCAGCTGCTGTTTGTTGTTTAACCCATGACACAATCAAGACAGGATTTGGGGCAGATGTCCAGGTCACATTCATGCAGGGAGGTGCAATCATGGCAAATATCTGACTTGATGTTGAAATAATAAAATTAAATCATATCACCATCTTTAGAGAAAGAAAACTAGGATCCCACAAGACCAGAGTTTAAAATCTATCCAGCTGCTCCACTGACCCTAATGTGGTTTAATTTTTCTTCCTTTTCATAACAGCTCTGAAGTATTATTAGGTTTATTTTTAAAGTGAGATATGAAGCAACATCATTCAATTCAATGTATGTTGACTCAGTTCCATGAAGTTTGATGGGACTTTCTCATTCCAGATTTTATTATGCAATTACCACGACCCATTCAGAGAATTCTACAGGATGGGGAAGCGAGTGAAGGCAACATCCTTGCACTTCGAATCTTCTCATGTCTTCCGCATTATTTCTTCTGCTTTTTTTCCTTTTTTTTCTTAGCAGAAAAACATCCACTAAGAATGTGGTACCAGAAGCTGTCAGTGACCTAAGTATGCTCAGCATAGTCTGAACCCTGACTTCTTAGGTTTCTCAGATATGGTCCTGCTTTAGAATACTATCACTACTTTTCTAATGACCCTGTAGGGCAGTGTTTCCCAAACTTGACAATTTTAAGGCATGAGGACTTCAACTCCTAGAATTCCACAGCCAGCAACGCTGGCTGTGGAATTCTGGGAGTTGAAGTCCTCATGCCTTAAAATTGTCAAGTTTGGGAAACACTGCTGTAGGGTCATTAGTGGCAACGTACTAACTGTAACCCACTTTACAAGGAAGTGTTGATATATTTTTATCTGTTGATAGAAAATGTGTATATAACATTTACTGCCTTTTGATTCTTCTCTCAGGCTAATTTCAAGAGTGACCTCAACTATCACATCACCGTCAAATGTCAAACTATCTTTCAGTGGTCTCTGACTGAGAATGACTATTTAATTTTGAACAGATTTAAGTACAAATTGTTTTATAATCATTATGAGAACATTATAAGATTATTGAGTCTGAATTAGCCCATCTCCCTGGTCATTTAGGGCCAAATAAGGGCTTTCATCAGTTAACTCATCTTCCTATTTCTGTGGAAAAGACTGGAAGAATGTCCTCATTCAACTGCAAATATGCAGCTGGGAATGACTGATTCAACCAGGGCTTCCCTGAAACAGCCTTCTGGAGCCTTGCAAACCCAGAATTCCCAACTGACATGGCCTTCTGGAAATGGGAACTGCATTCTCAGACAGACATACAGTGGGTGAGGCTTTTAACTCTTCCCTCCATATAATTTTCCTGATAGGAACAAGTGTTACTCTTGCCCCTTGAGTTCCTGCAAGTCACAGTTGTCACAATAAAGAAAGGTGTACTTTGGGATCTGACTCACAGCACAATCCGGTAAGATATTTGCACTGCCCGCTGGGCTATAGGATACCTGGCGCCGCTCGAGCCAGATAGCTGGCCTCGCCCTGCTCTTCACCCCCCAGAGCTTTGTGGCACAGAAAAATCAGCCTGCCATCCTTCGGCTGCAAAAATCTAGATGACCACCAGATGGCTGTCAAGAGGGGGAAGAAAAGGAATCCCTTCCTACCAAACTAGCGGTCCTGCAGACTTTTGTTGTCCGGATACCGCATGTCCCCTTACTATACAAAACGTGCAGCTGCCAGACAAGGGGCGGGGGAAGAGCATCTGAAAAACTGCCCGCGTCTCTCGGGAAAAGAGCTGGTGGAACAGGCCTTCTTCATTTACTGTGCCAGGGGTTCATTACTGCAGGGGAGAACTCTCGACGAAAAACGGCCCAAGAAGAAGCACATCCAACCAGCTCCTTCACGACAGCCATCCGCCCGTCCTGAAGTTGAGGCTCGGGGGCTGAGGACCAGTGATCACCTCGGGCAGATCAAGTTCCAGAGGGAAACCCACGCGGTGGCTCCCCCCCCCCTTCCCTCTTCGCCTGCCTCCGGACCACGCACATTGCACAGGAGACGACGGGGAGGGGGAGAGAAAGAGAAACAGAGAGAGAGAGAGAGAGGGATCACCCCATCACGTTTCGACAGCAGCGGCAGCCGCTTCTCTCCCCCCCCCTCCCCCACGCCCCTGCCTGCTTGTGTGGCCGGGAGCGGAGAGGCTGGAGCGTTGGCCAACACGTGAGGCTCATGTGATGAGGGAGGGAGGGAGGGAGAGGCGAGGCTCGTCCGTCCCTCCCTCCGGTAGCAGCCAGACGTGCCTGGAGTCACAGGGTAAAACGCGTCGCTCCCCTCCACCCCCTCGCTCACATTTAACCCAGCCTGCAGCCTTCCAATTACTTCTCAGCTCGCCGGCGCAAGGGCGCCCCTTTCCAACCCGCCGCTCCAGGTAGCCGGAGATGACATGAGCAGCCGCCACCGCCACCGCTAACTTGACTTCGCTCGGCGCAGCCCTCGGCATCCCCTGCTCGAGCCCGTGTGGCGGCTCCTGGGGCGGGAGGCGATCCCGGGTCTCTCATTGGCTTCGCCTGGAGTGGAAGGGCAGTTCCGGCCGGCCAGGTGCCAAGCAAGTCTTCGGAGAAGCCGAAAGCCCATGGAAAGGATCACCAGCGCTCAGCCTCCTCCTCCTCCTCCCGCTTGTCTGGGCAAGCTGGCTGCGTTCGACGGCGGGGACATGTCCGGGTAAGAGCGCGCGCCGAAGGGCTGACGGGCGTTGCTTTTTCACGGGAAAATCGCCCGATTGAACTGCCCGGCGTTGGCCTCGAAGACCTTCCTTGGGGAGGACAGCGACGCCTACACTAGCCGTCTGGGGGAAGGGGAAGTTCGCGTTCTTACCGGCGAGTTAAAATATCATTTTTATTTTTTTTATTTTTTGTTAAAACAATATATTCTTCTTGTTGTCATCAACAGGTTGGACTTTGCTCACATGTATCAAGTTTACAAGCCCAGAAGAGGGTTAAAAAGAGGGGACGACAGTAAGGTAAGTGCAATTGCATTTATTTATTTTGCTTCGGGTTCTTCTTGGGTGAATGACGTTGCTCCCTTTTTACTGCAGAGTTGGGCTTCTACTTTAAAAGCGTTTTGATGATTTAGAAGAAGACCCCTCATTTCGGGAGCAGAATGCGAAAGTTTAGACTCTAGAGTCTGATCCTGCATATCAGATATTTACATTACCATTCATAACAGTAGCAAAATTACAGTTATGAAGTAGCAACGAAAATACTTTTATGGTTGGGGGTCACCACAACATGAGGAACTGTATTAAAGGGTCACGGCATTAGGAAGGTTGAGAACCACTGGCTTAGGGGCTACAGGATAGTGGTGTTTGGAGGATAAAATTATTATAGTAGCCTCATACTATGAAAACCTATTTGATTAGAAGTGTTGCATAAAGTATTTTCCTGGATATGTCCGTGGTAATGATCTCCCGGAAGTATTTTGTTTCAGGAGTTTTTCCTGTTGCAACGAAAATGGTTCTATCTTCTTTCATTCAAATTCAGCTTTGATTCAGAAACAGATGTTCTAAACTAGTTTTTCCCCCTTTTTCCTTTCAGGAGACTTATAAGTTGCCTCACAGGCTGATTGAGAAGAAAAGGCGTGATAGGATTAATGAATGCATTGCCCAGTTGAAAGATCTTTTACCAGAACATCTCAAACTTACAGTAAGTAAAAATCTGGCCGCTGTCCAGACTTGTCTTCCTTTTCAGAGGTTAGGCTGAATGGATTTTTGTATGGATAAAAGCGCCATCTAGAGGATTGCTTGGTCACTGCAGATGAAAGTGAAAAGGGCTGTGTCTGGGTAGCATTGCAGCTTTATGCTTTTTATCAGTACTTGGTCTTACAATTCTGAAGAACTTGCAAGTGAGATTCAGAGTATACAACACCTTAAAACTGACAGGAGACCACAGTTTATTTTGGAATGATTGGGTAGCTTTGATTTCATCCTTTTTTCTATGTTAACTATATTGTTGCTTCAAATTCCATGTTCTAATTTATCAAAATACTCCAGAACTTTCAAAATTAAAGTTTCCTGTTTCCTGTGATAAAATAGGACTGCAATCAATGCTTGCATACTTTTAAAAAAATAAGGAAAATGTTACTTAAATGATCCAGTTTCCATTTGAAAAATGAATCTTGATTTGGGTTTTTTATTTTGGAATTGTTTTTTTTTTAAAGCACTTTCTGTTTAGTTATTGTTCTATTTCTTCCAGGTTTTTTTTTTTACCTGAAATATATAGACATGACTGTAACTTCTGTTACTAATTCACAGGATAGATTTAAGTAGCTTTTCATCAGAATAAAAGTGGGTTTCATTGGGAACATTATGCTATGTTTAATTCAGTCCCTGCCCATTTCCTCCCATACTTTGCCAGGACATATTGCTCCCTGCATTCTGTTTCCTTCAGCTGACCAACTCACTCCTTTCCTGTTTTCAGACTTTAGGACACTTAGAAAAAGCTGTTGTTCTTGAACTTACCTTGAAGCATGTCAAAGCATTAACCAGTCTCATTGAACAGCAGCAGCAGCAGATCATAGCTCTCCAAAAAGGTTTGCATGCTGGTGAGTACATATTGTTTAACACCTTTTCTATAGACACAGATGCCTTTCACATCCAAATTCTCTATTAAAACATACCTCTGCTCGTTACAATAAACTTCTCATGGTAAAGCTTTCTTTAATTTATCCTTCCCTCATTTTTTGAAGAACTATAAAACTTGGCAGTCTTTGCCCTTTCATCTTGAACTTACGTTCTTTTCAGTCAGGGTGAGTTCTTTATTTAAGTTCCAAACACTTTTTTTAAAAAAAGATTGGGCTACTGAGCCATGCATCATCTGTAGATCAAAATGACTTTTTCTTATATAATATTCCAGCAGCCTAGAAATCTGGATTAGTTGTTGCAGTTCCAAATTGTGAAGAAGTAGTTCTCTTATTTCTTTAAGTCTGCTTCTTCAAGCCATATTCTGTTGTCCTTTAAAGCAGTCCTCCAAATGTGGTTTCCAGAGTTTTATGTACATTGGAAGTTGCAGCCCCAATTAACTGAGAAAACATCAGATTGATAACAACTGCTCTCAAGTTTAAATTATTTTATATTTTGATCCAGTATTTTCTTCTATAATTGGAGGAGCCCTTTGGTTGGATACTACTATCCCTAGCATAAAGGGACTGTCCGCATTAACAGTGGTAATTCCTCATGTAAGATGTTCTAGATGTAACAACAAGGTAGACAGAGTAATACTGTAGGAATTGGGGAAAAGGGAATAGTCTGAAGTATTGACTTCCTGGGCCAAGACAGCGCCCTGCTGTCTCTCACTGCATGGATGACTAGCAATATGTGAATAGCCCTTTCTCGTGGTATTGTGAATGAGCTCCAGGAATGTGGAGGAAAGGCTATGCGAAGGGGTGGATCCATCTAGTGAAATAATCTAAACATTTAAACATGAAGCAAAATGTGCAATTACACAGGGTTAGTGTAAGAAGCTCTTTCCTGTGTAATTCAGTTGATTTGTGCCTGCTCTCATTGAAGTCAGTAGTACTTTGAGGTTCTCCTCTGATGTTTCGGTTTCCCATTCATTAAAAAGATTAACTGTTAACTGGAGACTTACTTTGATAAAGAACCAATTTCATTCAGCTGCTTCTCCCTTACTCCAAACCTGGATTTTAACATTCTGTTGAAGTGATACCTTTTTTATTTAAGTACAGTAAAACCCGGATTTCACTTTTAGAAGCTCAGATAAATTAATCCATTATAGCGAAGTTTCTTTCTGAAGCAGTTCCCATGTGCACACTTACCTGGAAGGAAACTGGGGTGACTTAATGGCTTCTCAGTAGATATACTTTCTTAGAAGTGCATGACATTCTCATGTCCACTGAATCTTTTTGGTGTATCAGATTAATTTGTGACTAATATCTCTTCAGATGAGCTGCCACCACGGAGTCTTGAATCTAGCCAAGAGATATTTCGGTCTGGCTTCCAGATGTGTGCCAAAGAAGTGTTACAATACCTGGCCAAGCACGAAAATGTCAAGGATCTGAAATCATCTCAGTTCATGAGCCACCTGCACAGAATGGCAGAAGCTCTGCAGAGTGGAATCAGCCGAAAGCCTGTAGACGCCACCCCAAAGCTTGCAGATCTGAAGGATAAATCTCCATCTCTGACCAAAGCTGCTGAGGCACATGGGAAAAACTGTGTGCCTGTGATTCAGAGGACTTTTGCCCACTCCAGTGGAGAGCAGAGTGGTAGTGACACAGACACAGACAGTGGATATGGGGGTGAGCTAGAAAAAAGTGACTCTAAATCTGACCCACAGTATTTTAAAAAGGACACGGAGCTGAAGTACACTGCCCAAGAGAGAATCCCTTCTATTAAACAAGAAAATGAGGATCCACCAGCAAAACGGACCAGGATGGACATGTCGGAGGATGAAGACCATTTTAATAATGTGCTTGGCTCTTCCTCCAACAGCTTCTTAGGTCCACATCCCCACCAGTCTCCCCTTTGTTTGCCTTTTTATGTTTTCCCTCCCTCGGCGACAGCCTACCTGCCTATGTTGGAGAAGTGTTGGTATCCGGCCTCTGTGCCTATCTTGTATCCAAGCCTCCCAACATCCACTGCAGCACTTTCAGGATTGATGAACCCAGAGAGAATGTCTTCTCCTTTGCTATTGCCTCACCGACTCCCTTCGCCTATACCGTCCCATTCCCCCATGGATTCTACAGCTCTTCTTCAAGCTTTGAAGCAGATGTCTCCTTTGGATCTGGAAACCAAAGACTAAACAAGAGGCTCTCTTGTTCTGTTTGGCTGAGTTTGAAATTATTTTGGATTTCTCCCCATTCTAAACCATGTGTGTGTGTGTGGGAGGCTACGTGCCCAAGTCCTAGAAAAGTTTTCAAAGACGCATCCCAGTTAGCGAAAAAGAGGAGAGAGGTGTGTGTGTGATTGTTACATTAAAATAATGTTTGGATATGCTTTTACCTTTCAGCTATCTGAGAGACCTTAAATCAGCGAGGATTATACTTTGAAGTTGTGAAAGAAAACAAAAAGATTAAACAGATTTAGAGAGACTGCAGAAAGAAAAATCTGATGAGGGCTTTTCAGGTAATGATCTCCAGAATCAAAAATTCATAATTGGATGCAATGGCTTCTCTTGCTTTCTGGCACCACTGATATCTGAGATCTTAACATCCAGATAGATAAAATTTATTATAGCATAGCTATGAATCCTTCGGATAGCAGTCATTGGCTAGTAAAGCATTCAGGGAGATTTTGAATCTAGTTTCTTGCCTATTTCAGCTCAACAAAATTTCCCTTTTCCCCAAATGCTATCTGAAAGTTTTGTTTAATTTGAACTGCTTGATAGGTACTGCTCTGAGGAGGCCATTTTGAAAAACAGACCATATGCCTTTTCCTTATTATAAACATTGTTTTTCTTAATTTCTGACAAAAACCTATTCGCTAGGAAAAGACATTGGCTATCATAATAATTAGATACTGGTCCACCTTTGACTAACGTAAAGTGTCATCAGCTTGCTACTTTGACTGGGGAATGGCTGTTACTCTTGATCCAGGTGTGTTGTGAAGAATCAGTAGAATCCTATTATCTGCCTGGTTCTCAGTTTTTCCCCCAAGTGTTGTACTATCTAAAATAATCAAATATATTTTCTATTTTAAAGTGGTTCCCTATCTGTAGTTGAACATATATAGCTTTATTCTTGTCAAAACCAATATAAACTGGTATCTAAATCAGTACCATAAAACACATTATAATTTGACACAACAGAGGCCTTATTTAGAATATTTTGAGATAACTGGTGGTAGTCCCTCACATGACCATGTTGTGGAAATCCAGAGCCATCTCAAACCTATCCTTTCAGCATCTTCTTCCTAGACCTTCCTATTTGAGTGTAGCATTTTATAGTAGAACCAGAGACAGTTTTCTTGGTTATAGCATAAACTAGACAAGTGGGAGCTGATGAGAGAGAGAGAGAGAGAGAGAGAGAGAGAGAGAGAGAGAGAGAGAGAGAGAGAATGTGTGTGTGTGCGTGTGTCATATTTCCCCACCCATACTCATCCAATTGGGGCAGAACAGAAATGCTCTAGCAAAACTAAACAAGTTTTTGGCTAGGGCAGAAAAGTATAAGTTAGAAGAGTCCTTCCTTCTGTATAAGTTGAGTGAAACACTTTTGAAAAGACAATTTCCTGCCAAGGTTGGTTCTTGAAATTGGATTAGAGCTTGTAAGAAGCAGATGAGCAATAATCTCTTGGTAAGGAGGAAGAACCTCTTCCTTATGTGGTTAAAAAAAAGCATGTGGTCTGATTTTAGGATAGAGACCAGATATGATATTCTGGGGCTTCATCTTGCAGTATACGAACCACAGTCACTCCCAGGGATGAATTGTGAGTCATGGATTGTGGTCTTTGCCTCCTGCTTGTCCTCTTGTTGGCTGGAGCATGACAGTGCAAGGGAGATGCCTGCCTTTTCCTGGAAGATGGACAGCAGAGCAACACAGAACAATAGAAAAATTGCCAACATGTAAATTGACCCTAGATGGAATGAATCTTGCAGGACTGAACAATCCGCCATGATTCCGAATATTAAAGTTTTGAAAGATCAGGTCAAATGGTGGTATTAATAATTTGTTTTGAAAAATGCCGTACTGCCCTCTGATTATATTATTGCACCAACTGCTAGAATGCACTATGCTCAATTACAGGTTGTGTTTGACCATTTATATTTTATTGTTGGTTTGAAAAACCACATTTTTTGTACACAGTTGTTGCCTTTCTTTGCAAAAATCTATTATAAATGTGTACATATGCATATTCTATGTTTCAGAAGTCTATTTGTACAACTACTTAAGTTCAAAGAAAATGGGAAATATGAATGTATTCCTGTTGTTGTTGTTTTTCTTTTAAAGAGGGGAATGTCTTGTTCTTCCTCTTGGGAGAAATAAGAGTGTTTATATTTTTGGAACCTTCTTGAAGGTGGGTAGAGTGTAAATATTTTTATCAGAGTAAAAGTTAAGTAGTTGTTTAAAAAAATACTTAATAAAATTATTTTCCTGTGGAACTTGAGTTCTTGTTCCTCTTTGTCTGAAGAACCAGTTGATTGTAATAATAAGACGGAAGTATCTAAGGTAGAGGTACTTGTAGAGAAATAGAAAAGCAACTTAACTTGAATTTAAGGCCACTGAATTAAGTGGAACAAGAGGTCAGTTGAAGTGATAAAATGGGAATTGGTGTTCTCATGCTATCAAAAGGACTACATATCAGTTTCCCACGTGGGTCTCTAGTGCTATTGTGAGAGTGTATCATGTGCCTCCCCACTTCCTTTTTTTTTTTTAAATGAAAGACATGGGGTTACAATGGCCTCATTTTCTATGCAATGTTTTGTTTTTATTTCATGTGATAATGAATATTCTTGGGCCAATTACAAAGCTATGTAAAATGGGAAAAGCCATTTTAAAAAAAAAAGATTAACAAGTAATATCCCAGTATAATCAGACTACAAGTACTTTCCCAATGTAATGAGACATTATTTTAGATGTCTCAAGATTCACCTGGAAGAAGAAGATCTTAGGATGATGTCAGGTGATTAATATGGACACCTAGCATATCTCGTTGAGGTGATTCCATAAGCTGGGGCTCTTGAGGCCCTCACCCTTGTTATCAGATATCTAATTATAGTTGTCAAAAGATCCCAAAGGATGACCTTCAAGGATGAATAAAATATCTGGCCAGCTACATATCAGATACAGTATCATCCCCCTCCCTTTTTTTTAAAAAAAAAAGAACAAACAAGGAACAGTCTTTCTCCCTAAAGGATGCTCCAAACTAAGTCTGATGAAAACACAAGTGGCATAAGAAATTGCTCATGAGATTTTGGCACATGAAAAGACAGATTGGGCTGGGTGACTTTTTTTTAGTAATATATTTCTATTTAAATTGTAATTATTTCTAAATTCACATGTATCCATTTATGTTACATACCTCTTGACTATCTTTTCTGCATTGCTGCTTTTTTTTTTTTTTTTGGTGAAATACAAGGGATTGTCCTGTTTTTGCTTTCATTATCACTTCAGAATGAATGCATGTGGTCCTGGAACTGCCCAGTATATCATTTTTGCCTTAAATGTGCAAAAATGCTTCTAAATGTGAAGGAAAGGCAAAGAAACAAAAGGCAGAGCCCATCACCCTCTGTGCCAAATAGTGGCGCCACTGAACTACAATGGGACAAGCTACTGCTTGCAGAGCAATCACCTCAGCGGATCTTCCTAGCTTACCTCAACAGCAAGCCAATTTTTCCATTGGCTCACCTCTAAATATTTCACCATTCACTCAAATCACATTCAGAATTGAAATCTTTACACGGTAACTCCAAACAGTTTGATGCTCTCATATTTTCTTTTATTTTTTTGTATTCTATTAAGAGAGAGAGAAGTTGGTATAGTGTAGTGGTTCTCAACCTGTGGGTCGGGACTCCATTTGGGGTCGAATGACCATTTCACGGGGGTCACCAAACCATGCTGTCCGCCATTTTTTTCCCTTTTCCCTAGCTGTCCTACTCCCTCTTATTGGTGGCCACACCCACTTGGGGGTCACCACAACATGGGGAACTGTATTATGGGGTCACGGCATTAGAAAGGTTGAGAATCACTGGTATAGTGGTTCAGGTTAGAGGTATAATTCCACCTTAGACACAAAGCCTGCTGGGTGATCTTGGACCAGTCACTCCCTCTCAGTCTTAAGAAGGAAGCAATGGCAAACCACTTCTGAAAAGCCAAGAAAACTGAAAACACTAATCCAGGCAGTTATCAGAAGTCAATACTGACTTGAAGGTACACACATACACACAAAATCAAAATCTTGATATAGTAATATTTGGCCTATGGGCTCATATGGGTAAGTGTAATCTAAAACCAACTCACTTTTTGAGTTGGGCTCCTGGAATTCAGAAGCAAAAAATCATCAGTGGTCCAAAAGCAAAAGGTTTTTGATGAAATTGAAAGACTTGCCTGTTCATTGCTGTTAAAAGGCATGCAGCTGCATTCTATATAGTTGAAGGTTTTAAATCATACCTGTCACATTAAAAGGAATCAAAATTGGAAGTTACCGGATGCACAGATCAACATGGCAAGTTCCGACCTATCTAATATATATATATATAAATATACTTCATGGCAAGCAGACATGATTAAGAAGACATAACCCTAATAACAATTCCAGCATGCTTTCTTGGTCCATCAAACTGAGTTAAGCTGGAAACAATTCAATCCATAATTTTATTCCAGTTCAAAAGTAGAAAACATTAATTCCAAATAAAGGTCAATATTTTCAAAGCGGCTGCCACAGTTTGAACTAAGATTTGAAGCTCACAAAATTGTGATATAGACTCAGTTAGTCCGTGAAATCCACAAAACTTCCAGCCTCCATCTGAGTGCATCTAGAACTAGACAGTTCTGAAGACCGCAAAACTCCTAGGAGGCCACTAGTTTACTTCCAAATAGACCATCCTCTGAAAGAGATATCCATTCCTCCATCCCTCTGCCTTCTACTTTCCACACACACACGCAGATCAATATTCCTATGGTTTAGGTCAGTGTTTCTCAACTTTGGCAACTTTCTGATATGTGGACCTCAATTCCCAAAATTTCCCAGTCAGTAGGGATGGCTGGGGAATTCTGGGAGTTGAAGTCCATATAACTAAAAACTCCAAAGTTTAGAAACCCTGGTCTAGATGATTGAAACTCTGGTTCAGAAACAGAATCCCCAAGTCAAATTCAGGAACATGAATCTATCTCACCATTAGGTTCTGGTTATTCAGCATCCAATCCAATAGGTGACTATTTTTTCTTTTTCTTCTCCTCCTAAGATGATTTATAAACCGGGACATAATATAGTATCAATAAATAAATCTAAATCCAACAAAGGTGGAACTGAGGAAGTGATAAGCTGCCTGGGAAAGCCAAGGGAAATCATCAAAACAATTAAAAAACTAAAATTAGAATATTTCGGACATGTGATGGAACACCCAGAAAAATACGGCATACTCCATTTAATCCTCCAGGGAAAGATTGAAGGCAAACAAGGTCCAGGCAGAAGAAGAACATCGTGGCTTCAAAATCTAAGGGACTGGTTTGGACAAAACTCAGCAGCACTTTTTCGTGCGGCTGCTGATAAAAACAGGATCGCCAACATGATTGCCAATGTCCGATAACAGATATGGCACAAGAAGAAGAAGAAGAAATCCAACAAAATCACCAAGCTTTTAACATGGTCCATAGGTTAGAGATTCAATATGCTTTAATCCATGGACGATCTTCACCAATGTCACATGTCCAACCTCAGCACATTATAGTGGAATTTAGCAAAAAGTAGCAAAGACAGAGAAAGAAAGAATCCTAGGCATTATAACCATTACCCAACACCTCATTGTCTTGATTTCTATGTCCATTTACTCATTTTTGAACATTTCTTCCATTTTCTTTTCTTTCTTGTGATTTCCAGTGTGGAATAAGACCAACAGATCAGCCACATATCAGCAGGAATAGCAATTTTTCTATGTAAACTATTCCGTAAACCTTTTTTTTTAAAAAAAACTAAAGAATAGAATAAAATGTTTTAAATTGTAATTAAAATAACAATGTCTCAACATCCTTAATTTTATGCAAATTCTGCAAATTATGTTAACAATGCCACATGTAGCTATAATATAGGTGCTAATATATATATGTATTCAATTTAGCCATCTTTGGGAGGGGAAAAATAACACTATGAAGTAACAGTAAATAATATGCAGAAATACTAACGTTGGAGATAGCACCTGTGGTTTCACCGTGAACACTGTCCCAGCAATGAAATCATGGAAAAGTATCTTTTCTCTGTTGGGGTTTCTTGCAAGGGAGTACTTCTTCAGCTAAGCAGATCACATTAAGACCCTGGAAAGTGTGCAGGGAAAAGCAACAAAGATGAAAAAGGGTCCATGCTGGCTCAGGAATTCTGGGAGTTGAAGTCCATGAGTCATAAAAGAGCCAAGGTTGCCTACTCCTGGGCTAGCCTATGAAAGAAAAGGGTTAGGGGGGAACATGATAATTGTCTTCTGGTACTTGAGGGGCTGTCACAGAAAAGAGTGGATTGACTTATTCTCCAACGCACCAGAGGGCAGGACAAGAAGAAATGTGTGGAAACTGGTTAAAGAGAGCTCTAACCTAGAAACAAGGATAAATTTTCTAGCAGTGAGAACAATTAATCAATGGAACTGCTTGTGTCCCAGAGCTGTAGGTGCTCCATTACTGGAGGCTTTCAAACATAGACCGGACAACCATTTGACTGAGATGTTGTACGGCTCCTTGAGCAGGAGGTTGGACTAGAAAACCTCCAAGGTCCCTTACAGTCCTATGATTTTATGTTCTATGTTCTAGAACATTACAGGCATTACTTAGAGCTTCAAGAAAAGCCTTTCTGATTCTTTATGAGTTGCCTTCCTACGAGTCTCCCTAAAACAAAACAGAGTGCTCCCCCCGCCCAGAATTCACTTCTGGCATTTGCTCCTCTTTTGTTATTTAAACCTCTTAAGCTTCTGAAGTCAAGGAGGGAGAGATCACACTTAATTTAAATCAGTGTTTTTCAAACTTGGCAATTTTAAAATTGTGGACTTCAGAGTTTCTTAGCCACGTTTAAAACACATTTAAAGTTGCCAAGTTTGAAAAACACATTAAAAAAAGTGATTGTGTTTATCCTAATATAGATGGGGGACATGTGCTACCTTACTGCTTTCTCAGTAAAGGGTATGGTTCTGGGCAATGGTGGGATTCAGCCAGTTCCCACCAGTTTGGCAGAACCGGTAGCTAATTTTTTTGTTGCTCAGGCCCAGAATGGACTTCCAGAAGCAGCATCCACACAGAGAACCAGTTGTTCACATATTTGAATTCCACCACTGGTTCTGGGTAGCTGCACCAACTTCAATTTGATATGCAGTTCCTGTACTACTTTGTTTCCGCTTGCTAACTCTGAATTGATTTTATAATTTTATTTTTGAACCCTAGTCTCCCTGACACAAGATATTTATTT